AATGGGTAGGTACTTGGAATAGTAGTATTATCGGAGTTCTGTCAGGGTTACGAACCACCGACTACAGACGAAAAAGTCGTGGATTGTAGATTTCCGAATATCGAGCGCCAAAAAATCTCTTCAATCATAATATATATAGTCAATTAAATAATTAGTTGTGATTCGAGTTATAACTTTACACTTACTGGAACTCTCTATCCGTTTCAGGTCATATCTTAGAAGATTTTTTTACTTATATCCTTTCTCGAATAAGTAGGTTAATCTATTTAAATAAAACATTTTAACGGTTTAAAACGCGATATATTAGTTAAAGCTGCTGCAAAGCATCCGAAACGTCGGGCTGATGTTAAAAATAATTTTCAAATAAGTTTAACTACTATAGCGCGTTTTAAACCGTAAAAGTGTTTTATTTGAATGTGTACTACTCGCATAAACTATAGACAGTATTTATGTTAACTTATACTTGTAATATGAGCTTAAATTATAAATAACTTTTATATGGCATGAATCCTTAACTTTATTCAAGATACACTGAGTTCACTACTATTTAATAAAAGCCAATAATATGCTCAATCGATTCCGGGTGTCAACGGCGAATGCTATCAAACATTTATTCTTCGCCCCAGATGTCAATTTTGTGAACGATGGTAAGTTTTTTAGCATTTTCTTGGCGATTCATTATATTTTATGATAAGTCTGATGCTGGTAGACCGTGACATTGATGGACAAGTTTTAAATCGAGTCGACGGTTTATACCGCATGGTGTATTTTATTAAATATTTTTAACTTTTTCCAAAATATTTTATCATAATCGATTTGTTTCCTTGCACCATAGTTCACCTACATTCTAAGTCTTCATATATTCAAATGAAATACACCCTAATTTTATTCTAAATACGTAGAGAAAATTAGCGTATCTATTATACGAAAATATTATAAAATATCGTTTTGAAAAGTAGAGTTTTTATGTGTTCGCAGAAACGAAAGCTTTTTTTCTTTTTTTTTAAATTAAAACTAAGGAATGCTCGAATAATACTGGATCGAATAATTCAGCAATCAATAGAAATCAAATGATTACCAAATATTAATTATACAATATCAAATCATATACCCAGTAAGGAAGGGTATTCTACACACACAGGCGGTTCTTTGCGGCTTTGCTCTTACATCGTCCGTTGTAATTGTAACAATAAGTCTCTTGTCGCTTTGTGACGGATTACCTCTGCTTAGCCTTTGTGAATTAAATCGTAATGTGCGTGCCTTCGTATACATTGAATAATAAAACATGTTATACTACAGTTGAAGCAGTGATGAAGCATTTTTCACGGTTAAATAAAATAAAACAAAGCCCGGTAATTGATAAATAACGAACTGATATAGTGGACTAAACGAATTCTAACAATATTTGTCTCCAGTTGCAGCTACTATAAACAATACATTGAAAATTTTATTCAAAGCTAACGAAAAATTGATGTACATTGCTTCCTAAAAAGCACGCAGTTAAATTACGTTCTGAAATAACCAGCAATGAATATTGTATAGCTGTTTGTATCGTATTGTATTCGGATAGGAGTTGTTAAAAGTGGAGTTGATTGGGCCACTGTTGCGCGGGCGCAAGTCATCCAGGCATCTCGGCGGCAATCACAAATTACAAACAGAAAGCTAGGAGCATTGTAATCTGACGTCGCATCACGTCCGATCATCGGCTGATCATGATTTACGGGCACCGTACGCTGATAGATCTCTTACAAATTTCAAATCTCTGTTGTAGAATTATTTCTATCTTAGATTGCTACAGAATTGATAATTTAAATAATAACAAATAGTGTTACGATTCGTGCTTCATACTCTACTATAGAATTGCGCTCCAGTGGCTTAGTTGACTGATAACGATTTAGCGTACCTGACAATTTTTTGAGAAAATGCAATAAATTGGACTGGAAGACATCTAAAAATTGTTTGGGTATGTTTGCCAATGATGTAAAGCCTTATTTGATAACAATAATAATTCCGGCTAAAATTATGTATTAGATTGTAAAGACAATGTAATTCGTTGATTTTAGTCTCACTTTTGATTTCACAAGGACCTTTTTGGCGTTGGATATCTACAGACTGTAACCGAAACGCGATTTATTTTGACGGCTTTTGTATCTGTGGTTCGTGGCCAGGACGAAATTTCGATATGCCTATCACCCATTCAATATCAGATTTTTAGACTAAACAACATGTTCTAGATAAATAACAAATTGTTTAGAAACATGTTAGACCCGATGGGGATCCAGGACCCGTTGATGATTAGCCATACATTGCTACCATTACCACCGACCCGTCAAAAGAGTATGTTCAGTAGGTTTTTTAGACTATCGATCAAATTCTGATTGCCGTCCTTTTCATGCGGCCAAAGCAAGAACGCGTGAGTCCGTCAGCCCAGTCAGCTCCAATCACCTGTCCGATTACCATCACCCACTTTTCATGGGTCACTGGCGCGCATACCGCACAAATTGAAATCTGTTCGTTACGCCACATCAAGGCTAGCTGACAAATTCTGGATTAGATGTTGACTCATATAATACCATAATCCAACATCGCGTGCCTCCGAAGCAATCAACGTTACGGCACTCAACGGTATCAGCTTTCCATTATCGTCCAATATTCATAAACAAACGGTTGCTTTAATTGATTACGAAGAGTACGCTGAACGCTTTTCGAATATGTTTAAATTAAAAACGGAGCTTACCTGCATTAACGGTAGCCCTAGAGAATTCATTAGGGGCAATAAAATGCCTATTATTATAGGGGGCCGAAAAGTCGATGCACGCGATGCAATTACCTGATTGGCTGATCTGGTCGAGACTGGACTCGTGATTGATGGCGAACATAATTAGAAAACACTTGAGTGTGTCTTCATCGAGTTTATCTTAATTGTGGCCAGCACTTACCTCGCTGACTCAAACACCACGTGCTACGATCCCGAACGGTTCTCAACAAATATAGATCATTAATAGCTTCGTAAATCATCGTATATTAGATTAGTTGCATAATCTAAATCCAATAAATTTATATCTAGAGCGGTAATTATGTGGTTAGTTTTCTTTGAAATTGCCTCCTTTAAAGAATTATGCATAGACAAAAATCTATACTACTATTATACAGCTGAAGAGGTTTTTGAACGCGCTAATTTCAGGGCCTAATGGCTGGAATAAAAAAAAATATATTTGTGTAGGATAGACTATTTAACGAGGGCCTTAGGAAATCACGCAGTGACCAATAGGATCAAAGAAACAGTGGAAAAAGTGAAAAAATGGGGAATATTATCATATTTGAGAGATTCCGTCGAGTGCACAGCGAAAATAGTTCGCGATAAGGAAAAATATATATAAGAGATAGATTCGTTACGAAAACTGTTTTTATGGTAATCAAATTTAGTCAAAATACTTCATATGGCAAAAAAGCATACTTTAAATACAAACAGATTATTTTCTCTTAATAGTTCGTGCTCTTACTAAACCCAACTGTTACGGTTTAGTTTTCAAACGTGTACTTAAAGATCGAAACCATCAGACCGAGAACGCGTCTGATAACAACCGACACCTTGCAGATTTACAGCCGCAAAACAGATATTGGCGATATTTTCAAACGCTATTGATGTTCCCCATTCGGCCCGCACTTACGCGTTAAACTACTTCACTGAATAATCCTCCAATTGGATGTACGCTAATTGCTTAAAGAGCTTCTTTAACGCAGATTTGGTTATGTGAATTGTGGAAATTGCAGTGGTTGGCACTTACGGAGATTTCCTTAACGTTGTCGCATAAGATTTGCGGGGGATGCACAAGTCTAGCGTCCGACGGCGCTCCGGAGCCCTACCGCAGGCCCGCAAGTAATCAACCTATTAATAAAGGGATCAAGGATAATGCGACCAATTAAAACGACGTCTCCCATCTTAAGACGCTCACAGTTTTTGGGATCGTTCCAGTTGGATTATACTCTCGCGACATTATATTTAAATAAGCGAAATCCTTTTTATGCACGATCAGCAGTCTTTCTCCTATGACTGTTGAACATAAAAAGATGTAAATAAAACACTTTAAACGGTTTTAAAGGCGAAGTACAAACAAGTTTGAAAACTTCTATACTTTTCACATATAAGCGCATGATGGCATTTTACAAATTAACAATCGATTTTAAATTGAAAAACAAATATCTATAATGCCTGTGTCGTAATTTTTTTAATCTAAGATTGAAGTGTTTTGTTTTATTTAGTAGGATGGGTGATCAGTCCACGTTATCAGCTGACCATTTCACCCATTTCCCCATTTCCTCCTTGTAATGGAACATATAGTAGGTATAATATTTTTTTTATGATTGACTAGCTGGTGCCCGCGACTTCATCTACGCAGGATTAGGATTAGGACTACGTAGTACCTCGCATTTAAACTAAATGATGTATATCATATCATACATTACATAATTATGGGTAACCAATGTTTATGGCAGCGCACGCCAGAATAGCTCGCAGAAAGGTAGTTTTTTTCCTAGTTACTTGACACTTTATGTCATATTTTGGACAGCTCACACAATATCTTTATAAATTGTAGCCTATGTGTTCTTCTGATGTATAAGCTATGTTATAGGAAAGTTTAATTAAAATCCATTAAGTAGTTTTTGCGTGAAAGAGTAACAAACATCCTTCCACACATACAAACTTTCACGTTTCTAATATTAGTAGTATAGAGGAAGACAGACAAGTAGAAGACATTTGATAGTAGATCCAGCCATATATTAAGACGCGCCGTCTACCTGTCTTGGCTTTGGATATTCGTAATAATAATACGTTATTAAAAAAAGTCGAACGCAGAATGAAATTTGTAAATTCATTTTGCTAAGCGTGGATAATTTGTAGCGTTGGCCTAAATCATGAAAATTTGATGTAAATCGGCAATTAATATTCAATTGTCGGTATAATCGTTTACGAGTTTAGCCTCAGGCAACTCCTGTGTATGTGCCGTGACTGCGTTGACAGGGGAAGAGTGTGCGCGGCGTCTTTGTCGGCCCTCGTCTTTGATGGCTGCGCGGGCGCCGGTAGCAATCACTTCGAGTGCAAGTTTACGAGCAACCACGGGTTTTATTATCAGCCTGCCAGCTTCACTAAACGTGAATGGCCATTAGCTGAAATTCTAATGCGAGATGGTATGTCGATCTATTTATTTATTCATTCATTTCTAGATTAGGAATAATTGTAGTAACTACCTATTTTAAGATTAAGCATTTTTATAGGAGGCACTAATACATAAAAAAAACACTAGAAACAATTAAGTGTTTTTTTTTAAAGTAACTGTTTTTCCCCAGAAATCAACCTGGGACGACAAAAGTTTTTAATGTCACATAATTGAATCTTGTAAGTTGTAAAGTATAATCTACGGTCTACACGACTACGCGAATCTCCGTTAAAACGTTGTTTAATCAACACCAACAGACCGTACGGAACAGTAATTAGTCCTGATTGCGAGTAAAAAGCCGCTTGGTATAATAATTAGAGATGAGAACGTGATTTGAAACGGAGCCGAACGTGGTTTAAACCGAAACCGAATTTCAGGTGTATATACGATTCAACTGATAGGGCTGTCCTATGTCATATTCATAAAATTAAATAAAGATTTATTCAAAACTCTTAAAATTTTATATTAATTACTTCTTAGCTTTTACAGTGACCTTTAAATGTAACTCAATATTTGCTCAATACATTCATAACAATGTGTTACCTATTTTTTATTCTACTAACGCTGCTTATTGTATGCGGAAATGGTAGTAACTAAATAAAATATATTTATCAAGAATAAATTGAAAAATTTTCGACTCGGGCAGGACTTGAAACGTACAATATATTAAAACAAAGATTTAATTCTAAGTAACAGAGAAGCACTCTTCGTCTTAACGAAAAACGGTTGATTCGAATATGAAACGAAATTTAATCCATCCCTAGTATGTAATATTGGCGTTTTGCTGCCTAAATCTATTTTTATACACTATATTGGAATTTCTTTACCTACCTTATACTTTATATACTTTAAAGATTGCTCTTTTTAGAAAAGATTTTTTAAGAATGCCTCGGTTCAAGTCCCGCGCGTTTCAAAGATTTTTTAAACAATAATTTGTACTCACCGTAGTTTTCACGACTAGAACACTTTAAAATAAAATAGTTTTAACGGTTTAAAACGCAAAATGTATTGGTAACCATTTTTGGAATTTATTTTAACTACGGCCTGACGTTCGGATGATTGCAATAACGGTGTCACGGAGGACAATAATTAGTAAATAAATTTATAAGAAAGATTTATTTAGAATCCCGAATCGCCACCTTTCATATGTTTATGCCGCTGTTGCATACATAAAAGCAAAACGTTATCGGCCAAGAGTTTAATATATTCGTGTGCTTCACAACGACGTGCATTTGGCAAGTAAATCAAAGCGTTCGATAATACGATTCTTGGTTCCATAATCGACACATAAACTCCTTTTATCAAAGAGATTTCGTACGTCATAACTCGTAAATATTTAGGGCTGTTTAGTTTAAATAAATATAAAACAGTGCATATTTACGTTAAGTTTTATTTACAATTTTTGGAGGAGGCTGAATCTATACGTTTTCACGATAAATACTTTTAAAATGATACACAAGTCTTTACGGTAACCGCCGTAGAGTACGTTCTATTCTCTATTTATGCTATGGACATTTGGAATTTCATCAACATTTTATTTTTTCTCCATCTATAGACCTCTCTTTGCAATCTACAAATTTCATTCAGCAATCCACATCTTGTACGCTTTCCCTTTGAGCGTGCTTAATAGCAATCTTGTCATTCATTCACTCTTATAAACCAGAAGCTCCATATTGGTTACCATAAGTGAAAGTATGGCATTAGTTAAATATAGCCATAATGACGAAAAACTGCATATGCCCCTCCTTATCTTGAACCGAAGCGAGGCGAACACTTGCCTCGTAATGGCCCGCTTACGGATAAGCTCAATGCGTTGATTAATGGCTTAAATTAGATATTTCTCAATACGATATTTATGTCTGCTGATTATGGGAAAAGATGAGTGTTTGATGCGTTCAAAATTGGCAACAAATATTTAAATGTTTGCTTATGACGCATATATTGTTTTTTATAATAGGCAAAGACAGACACACAAGGGTTTACTTGATAGGTGAAATACCCAGCCATATAATATCTGAGTAAGATGCGCGATCGACCTATGAGGGCTTTGGATATTCGCAAATCCACAGACTGATACCGAAACGCGATTAAATTTCACGGCTTCTTCATATGTGGACGATGGTTTAATAGCGATTTAAATCGAGATTTCTAGACGAAGTCCAACGTGTTACGAACAATTATAAATGGAATATTTAACTTTTTAATATTTTGTTTTGTAAGTTTCAATTTTCTTAAATATCAGTCATTTAATAAGAAGCTTTTTCATTATTTAATTCGAGGCATATATTATATTATTACTATTGCATTGAATTCCTTACTAGTTTTTCTTTAATTTAAACGTTGTGCAACGCGGTTTGAGATCTGTGATTGAGTTCATTTTGCTGGTGTGACCTCTCCCTATTTGTTATTGCTGAGCGAAAAAAAGCTACAAAAGGCAATCGCGTTCTAAATTTAAGTTACTCGTCGTTAAAAGCTAAAAAAAAGAAAAAAAGTTACTCGAAAAAGTTTTTCCAACCACTTTGTTATACTTATGATGATATTCGTATAGTAGGATAGAAATTAATTACTGTTTCAGCTACCAATTGAAATAAGATCAAACACTTTTACATACTACATATTAGTAGACATTTAAACTAATATATAAAGCTGTAGAGTTTGTTTCTTTGAACGCGCGAATCTCAGGATCTACTGGTTAAAATTGAAAAATTCTTTAGCAATTATCGACTCAAGATCAACTTGCAAGAACGACGGGTCGCGACCGATGTCTTGGGTAACTTCATAAAGATAAAGAACAGGTTTGCAAAAACAAATTTTATGCCCAAAATAACTATTCCACTCGGACGAAGTCGCTGACACAGCTAGTCTTAAATGTACAGCTAATGTTTAAGTTTTATAATAATAGACACATCTGGCGAGGAAACATCTCTCTCCACTCAAACGGTCGGTGATCTCTATTGTCAGCAATTAACGAGCCTCGCAAAAAATTAGACCACCACAGTGGAAACACCTTGGCTAATGTGCCAGTTGACAAACAGAGGAAAAAAAACGAAGTTTCACTAAACCGCAGGGGTGCGAGGTCCTAATGACATGGATCATGTCCAAACAGCACCAGGACGACACGTGGCGAATGGCTGTTTAATGATTGAGTATTTACTGTAAATGAAAATAGAAATCTTAAAAAGTATAAAAGTATTTTTCTAAATTAAAAATGCATTTTAAATTTAAAAAAAAAATATGACATACTACTTGAACACTACGACGATGATGGGTAGAACACGGTAGCTTAATCGGTCAGAGCAACAGCACGCAAAGATGTGGAAAATATTAAAGTTAACATTTTTTTCTAATAAAATCACTATGAACAAAAGACACTCAACTACCTACGTAATAAAAAGACAATAGATATACAACGCTAATAAAGACCAGAAAAAAATGAACATTTAACTTTTTTAGTTTCAACTCTGATATGTTATAACATTTTCACAGTATAAACCGGAAGCTACTGGACTTTAACAGTAGTCGCAGTAGTTCTTGGTTTCGCCTGAAAAATCAAATCGTAAGAAGATATAAGACACCACTTAAGTTCAAAGCGAAAATGTTTTTATATTTTCGTTTTGAACTTAATTAATTAGACTAGTACCCGACTATCACAGTGTCGAGATTTGTGTAAATCAAGATTTTCAATTGAAGTCTTTTTTGTTTTACTTTAAAAATATATTATATTACTTAATGATTATTTTTTATTCTTTAAATTAATTTTGTTAGTAGATACTTAGTATATATTAGTGTTCAAAAAGATTCTTGTTACGAAATACTTCTTTGTTAATAAAAATGAAATCAATCGGTGTTAAAACAAGTTACGAAGTGAATTTCATACGAATTTCAAAAAATCATTTGGATCTGTATTAAAAATCATACAAGATTTGTTTGATAAATAGCGTTTGGACAACAATAAAGGCTCTCTTTACATACTCAAGTTAAATTGCTTTATAAGTTCTACACGGAGATCTATCTTGTTTATATTGAGTCACCAAATAGCTGTCACACAACAATGAGAATTGCAACAATAGAGTTATCTTTGTGTCGTCAATGGCCAATTGACTGAATGGATACGGTATAAACATGCCACAATAATAGCTACGGCATTACTCAAAAGTCATCAAGACGGGCATTTAAAAATCACTTACACCTGGAACTTATACAAAAGAATAGCTAGAGTTCTCGAAGGCGTTACGCTGGGCCCATTTTTCTTTTTAATGATATTAATTTAAAGTTTTGAAGTTTATCTAAAAACAATCGCCATTCAATGTTATAATTTGTAATACTCATTCGTTTATGCATTAAAGTATAAATGAATCAAGAAGTATATAGTAATATCGTAATATAATTTGTCTACCAAGGTTCTAGTCATTCGTACTTATTGCGAGATTTAAACGTTAATAAATGAAATCCAAGCAATTCTATATGATGTTAAGATCTTCAATATCGGTTTCTGTACAAACTTTTGTTTTATTCAGATATTCACGACACCTACAAGAAAACGTTGATATATGTTTTGATAAGTTGAAGTGGTAGATAAGTAATTAAGGAATTTAGTTTGAGATTCAAATAGGCAACCATATATTAAATTATCTAATTCTACTAGAATAGCTAGGTTTAGCTCTAGGCCAATGTTAGGGTTCCACGTAGTTCCATGAATGAAGGAATTAAATAACATAACATAAAAAAGATCATCAAGTGAAGAATGTACTTAAGCGTTGCTTAAAGATACTTAAGAGATTGATTTATTTTTTCGTTCAAGCCGGGCGCGACCAGTGTATGACTGAGAACTATTCCGTAAGTGAATTTAACAAAACAGTGTGGAATGCAAGTCGTGTAAGAAGGCAGCGTGCGAGCTAGCTGGATATTTCTTCGTCACAATTTACATAAATGATATATTCGATCCGCCTAATACCGTGCGTTGGTCATTTATTAAGCAGAAAATGTACGAGGCACGCCGCTACAGCTGCATTGCTCGCGTGCCTGCGCTTGCGCCGACAGAACGCGACAGCAGACCACACTCGAATCATTGTCCATGAGAAAAACCATCGTTGACGTATGTAAATCGTCTCGTGATCATTATCTGTTGACCTCTTTCACTGTAGTTAATCTCGAACGAGTCATCGTACGTAACGAATGTTCTTAATGACTGATACGTTAGAACACAAAAAACTATTAAGTAATTCGGTCATTGACAGTATCGAGATTTTTTTGAGGGTATTCGCACAAAAAATGGAATGGCAGTGGCATCTGAGCTTTAGCGGTCGGTGGCCATGCGCGGGTGGTCCGCAGAAGGCGTAAGCTTGCCACCTCTATACATCATCCGGGTATCACAAAAACGTAAACACACCTTTAATTCCGAGTAAAAAAGACTAATTTGGAAGGCACAATCGAATCGCGCGCACTCAATTCGTGATCTAGTACTGGACAATGAACATTTTGTAACGATCTTAGAACAGATGGGTGATAATTGCTATTGTAGTAAGGTAATTACTTTTTTGTCTCTAATGCTCATAGTTCCGGGTTGCGTTTTTTAGGCTATAATCGGGGTAATCAGTGGCTGTGATGGAGCGTGTGGCGTTTCGTGGACATTATCTCTTTGATCTGTACTTGAAATCTTGCCGGTCTCAGGGAAAATAAAGACATTATAGTCATCTCTATGATTACTCGCGTGTAGTCCCAGTAATTTAGCCTTATTTACAATTCTCACGCACCTTAATATTAGGTATAGATAAGAATAAGATTAGGTAAATAAAACATTTTTAACAGTTTAGAAACGTGACGTATTACCTAAATATTAAATTCTTCGGTCACGGTTGCAGTAAGGCATTCGAAATTTCAGGTCGTAGTTAATCATAATTGTTCAAAGGTTTTAATCGATATACTTGTTTATTTAACGTAAAAATACCATTCGTGTAAACATTTTTAATATTATGGTAATAAGGTCCTTTAAAAATAGGTAAATACATTTAGGTTACAAGTAGGTATTACATTACATATTAAATATGGTCCTATCAATGTATAACAATGAATAGACATAGCACGAACGTGAGTATTAAATATGTACTGTCAAAACTTTCACCAAACTATTTCCGGAAAGGCTGTATAAAAAATATTAATTAACGATTTTTCGTCTTCGAAAACAATTTGTAATGGTTTACGATTCTAATAAATCACGTTTGGGGTTTCTTGTTTCGGGACAACGTCGGATTGCCGAAATATTTGGGATAGGAACTGTCATCTCGCGGCTGTTTTTTTCGAATGGAATTTTTTTTGTTAACACTCGCTACCGTTCGTAGGAGTGGTGATGTTAATTACCTTCCTAAAACCTTATATAACAGCTTAATTATTTGCTTTGACTGTTTATTATATGGTAGTGTTATTATTAGTTTAAATATAACTGATATAATAATGAATTTAGATTTAAAACAAATGAATGCCGATTCTTCAGCTGTTATTTCAATGCAATGTTTAACTAGCTATAGATTGCACATTGTATTAATATTGTTTTAATGTAATAAATAAAAGGAGAAATAACATGCAATAATAGCCCCAGTCATGCTGTTGCTCTGCTGGTTTTCAAGGTGGCCGTGAAGTGTTAAAGTAAAGTAGTGGAAGTGAAATAAAATTAAATTAATAGTGTGTTGTATATTGTCGAGTAGCAGTTTTAATTCATAAAAATATACGTATTTTAATGGTAAAAACATGTTCGCTTTACTGAACACTAGTAGATAGGCCGCAGCTAGGTCCCTTTGATTGAAACGAAAACAAAATCGAGGCTCTTACAAATAAATTTCTACCGACGCGGGGTATCTGACAGATGCTATCGCAAAACCCACTATTTTCCATCGGAGTAGGCCATATTTTTGTCAATTTCTCGTCTGACATTTCCCATTTCGTATTCAGAAAAACACGGAGTAGACACGAAGTTGGAAAACAAGGGAATGGGGGAAAAGAGGCGGTTGAAACAGCGGATAATCACGTTAGCCGCGCTTCGAATAAGTGATGTGGGCCCGGTGCAGCGTCCCAATGAGATTGCGGTGTTTTTCCATGCTCCAGAGACAAACAAGGGATGCAAATTCGTGTTGACACCGCGATCCATCTTGTTCGGTTCTCCCGAGGCCGGTACCAGAACGACTGCTGTGATTGAGACGGTGCTCTTTGTTTGTTAGAATAATTGGACGCTTTTTTCTCTGTTCGTCTCGTGATATAAGAAAATTTATACGTGAAGATTTTCTTGCGTATCTTTTTACAATAAAGGAGGGGACAGACAAGGGGAGGGGACGGACAAATTTGATTGAAGGTGAAATACTCCAGCCATATAAAATTTAAACAAGATCCGCTGTCGGCCTATTTTGGCTCATAAATCTACAGACTTAACAGAAACGCGATTACGCGGCTTGTCCGGACGGAATTTCACTAGATATTCCTAATCCAGACGAAGTCCAACATGTTTAAGAAAAATATATTGATAAGAAAAATGTTTTACCCGGTGGGGATTGAAGCCACCAACCGTTACACTAACGAGCCCGTCTAAACATACTCAATAAAATAGGACACGTAAAAAATGCAGTTGTTACTAATTTGAAACTAAACAACTCTACGGTCATCGGTTTGAATCCCGCTAAGCTATATTCGTCTAAAAGTGAGTTAAACATTTCGTATTTTCGCCTAATCTTGGGGCGAATTCACGAGGTATCATAAACTGAGGCGACCTCGTATTGTGGGGCGTGCAGGGCGAAACTGTGACCTGAAATGAAGAACGGCCTGTGCTTCGCTGCACTCAGTAAACTCATTTTAAATATTCATATAATGAATTATTCTTACTTGTTGCGCTTCAAAAAAATATTAAGGCCGGGAAGTAAGTCTTTAAACAAGGAATATAGTTATAGAACAAATTTTAGATTTTTTAAAACGAGTTTTTAAGTTTGCGTAATCAAATAAAACAATTTAACGTTTTAACTAAGTTTAACGGGGAGACTCACCCGGCTGCTGCAAAGCATCTGAAACGTCAGGCCGTAGTTAATGTTTTTTCCAAATAAGTTAAACTTGTGTATATCGTCGTTTTAAACCGTTAAAGTTGTTTTTTTTAAATGTTTACTACCCGCGCAACCAACAGACGGTTTTTTTTTTAACCTGGCTTAAAAATTTTTTTTTCTCTCCCCCCCAAAATCCAAAAAAATTTTTTTTATTTCATTATTCATTGAGCCAGGCAATATTCGTTCTATTTAATGATATATCCATAGTCAATACGTTACTAGACACTAGGTAGTATTCGTTACTATTGTGTAGAACTAATGGTTGAAAAAGTAATCGTCTTCGCAGGGCGCGCGAATAGCCACAAAATGCGGGGCGAATAGATCATCCGGTGGGATCGAGTCGCGCCGCGTGCTACTGTCCAATAAATATATTGTTTCGCGCAGAGCCAGCGCAGATAAAGCAACCTCGCGCCTCGCTTTGCCTCGTTGACTCTGCGTTGCCCCAGTTATAGCGATAAAAGGAATTATGAATATATGAATTGTTACAGCCATAGGTATAGCATATGTTTTATAATGCAAATTTTTACCGAGTATTATAAACATGTGTGTATCTTGATAAGTATGTATTAAGTAATAAATTGTGTAAGGTTTTTCGGGCTGTTCGGCTGATGTGAGCGAGGAGAGGTTCTTGATGTTTCGCCCTCACGAGCAGACGATATCTTCACGAGCTTCTCGTTTTTAGAATTTCATTATAAATCTAAGTATTAATTACTTCCTAATGAAGATAGTACGAGCACCTATGTGACAGTGTCGATGTGTATTTTTTCTAGTTTTAGTTTTAAATAATCTAAAAGATCACCGCAAATCACCAAGGAACTTACATAATACATATGATTGCTTGCAGGGTAAATGTTTGTATTGTGAAGAAAAGAATTAGATTAATAAAATAAAGTCATTCAGGTTTAGATAAATTTGTCAACAACATACATTTTTCGGAAATTATTGAAGATAAAATTACAGAAACATGTTGGTACCGGTGGGAATCGATCCCACGACCTGATGCTTATTAGCCGTAATATTTACAACCACGCTACCATTATAACTACGAGCCCGTCAATTATATAATATTATAATGTATATTATTTCGTTAGAGATCAGCAGCGCGATCTTATTTAAATGTTTTATGGCTCAAGTATTTTACCTACCATCAAGTAAACCATATGTGCTCGTCTATCGAAAGATGATGAAATTACAAAGTTGCCTCGATCGAAACATAATTATTTTAGACATGTACGGGATAGCTATAAATAAATTAAAATATATTTAGATTTAAGTTTATTAAATTAAACAAAGCTGCAAGTTTTGTTTAATAGAGAATCGCTAACAGTCTGACCCTACGTCTCCACTAACCCGAAACAGTGTCAGCCAAACGCGGAGAGCTTGGCGTTTGCACATTATGAGTACGTGGATTTTGCTCTATTACATCACTATAGAAGTTCTTATTGACCACCCGTATTGTATCATACTAATGTCATCAATAACTGTTATGTTTGTAAACTCCGTGATAGTGATGTTCTTAGCGATTAATATGACATAAAGCATCGATATTATTGTTATTTTCTTTACACCGGCTGTATGTTTTTAGCATCGTTGATCGCATTTCCTACAAATACATATGGAACGGAGTAAAGATATTTATATATCTTTGCTGTCTACCCAACGATTACAAGAGAACATATTTCTCTATTCTCACGTATTGTTATGCTATTCTTGTACTTTAACGTAAGACATTAAAAAATATGGGTAATTTTTACTTACAAACTTCCCGATTTTCCAAAGCCATCATTTTTTTAGATTTATATGTTGGGGTATATCTCACCTACCATCGAGTAAACCGTATAAGTAGATAGAACAAAGACTTAGAATTACTGTCCTTCTCTATAATTCTCTATAATAAAAAATATAATACATTTTATTTTCAATCTGTTTCCTCAAGGATCGAACGCAAGACTTCTCATTCTTAAAGAATACTATATTTTAAATAATAATCTACAAAGTCAACACAGATAGGTTGAAAGTAGCCACGTTTGTACACGAAGTTGACATACGAGACTTAATGAAGGCAAATAATTCCCTCTAATGTGAAAAAGGAAGAAAAAGCTAAAAGGTTGTGTAACCAATGCGATTTAGTAAGACCCGATGGACGGGCCGTCCGTATTCTCACCCCACTCATGGGACCCAGCCATACGGCAAAGAAATCGAATGTTCAGAAGGGATTCATTTGTCTCGGTCTGTTTGCGTTGTCTTTGATTTTGTTTAAGGAAGAGAGACAGATTAAAAATAACTCTATTTAACAGTAACTAGTAATAATATTCTAAGTAGATAGAACAAAGACTTAGAATTTACATACAGTTTAGATTAGTTACATACAGTTAAGTCCTCAAAATAAAACCAAAAACTAAATAAAACAATAAACTATGGAAAATTATATACTAAACACGGGCCGCACTCTATTAGGCAATAGAGGTGAAAATTTGTATAATAGTAGTGGATTTTTTTTGGAATGGTTTGTTTGCAAATTATTTTTAAGTTTGCACGAATTGCTTTATATTATTTAATAACAGTATAAAAATACCACGTTTTAAGAGATATATATTAAAAATCATCACAATTTTTTAATACTTGTTTAAGTTTTAAACTATGTTTTTGTCTTCGAGCCAAATAATATTTACCTACCTACTTACAATCTTTTGGACCGTTTTACTATAAGAAGACTAGCTCAGAGGCAAAAAGATATTTAAAACCACTTACTTCATGCAATATTTATGTATATATTGCACTGATAAACGTCTAACAATAATTTAAAATATTAATTACAAGATCCTAGGACGTTACTCTCTCCATGTTAAGACGAGAAGAGAGTCGATGTTTTCATCGTAAGAAAACAATTACCTCTTTAAAATTTAAATACAGATCTCGGAGATTCTAAAACATTTTTTTTTATGTAAAAAGTGTTGCCTGCCATTATTTACATCCAAATAGAAACTTCAATAAACTAACTGACAACAATTTAGGGAAGTAAATATAATCTGTCAAATAGAAAAATACAGCATGTGTAGGTATCCAGTTAAATATTATTTATATATCTATAGGTACCTTTCTATAAATATTCGTGGACGAAATAAAAATAACAATATGGGGTATAATGAACATATCGAAAGATTTAGCGTTTTCATATCGCCTGATACTAAAATTTCATGGCTGGAGGCTGCTACGGAAGTTCTACCTATGTTCATAATATAACTTGATACTCGTACATACCTACCCTTGGGTAGACAGTATTTTGTTATCATAGGTATATTTATTTATTGAGTTGGATACCTACGTTTTACAGCATAGGTACTCAAAATTAACCTTCTTTATAATGTTTGAGAACTGTAAGATTAAAAGTCGAAAATAAATTGAAATCAATTTTTTCAATCCAAAATTTATTTGAGACTTTTAATCTTTTACAATTTGTATCTGGAATTCACCTTTATGTTACATGTACCTATTAAAATCCACAGTTTTTAGTCCTTAAAACACATTTTTTATAAGGACACACACGCAGCGTGTCTTTCGATATGGGTAACTAGCTTTAGTTCATTACGGTACATATCATATACTCTGTTCCGAAGCAACGAACCTCAAAACAATATTTGTAATCAAAACAAAACTAGAATACTGAATTAAAAAAGCCACCATTTAAACTTGGAGCGTATCCAATGCCCATCGAGGAAATGGAAAATTGAATGTCACAATAGAACACTGATGATACCGTGAAAAGATGCAAGAAAAAACACACCGCTATCCAAATGCTTATTACGCTACTTAGCGGAGCCCTGACTGTAACCACGATGCAATTGATTACTCAGTCTAAAATCAACTTTATTTGCATTCAAAATAAAGTTTAAATTGAAACGGCAAAACGCCGACCCGCCTCAAAGGGGCGTCGCCCCTCTTCGTCTAGTCACAACGAGTGCGTTCACACAACTTGCTTCTTTTCAATTTTTAATCACAAGTCGCTCGTTGATTTGAAAAAAGAATAGTAATAAATTAAATGTTCTGTTATGAAGAGTTGGAGCTAGGTAGCTAGTATAGAGAGTTCCAGTAGCACATACCAACAAGGTAGGTAGGTACTTGCTACCGGAACTATCAATATATTACACCGGAAATGAAATTTAAAAAATACGAATTCTACATACCATTTCACAATGGTATACTTAATAAAAGTATGTACCTACAATATATATTATACACATCTGAATACTGTTGTAATTTTTCAATAAAACACTTTAACGGTTTCAAACGCGACATATATTAGTTAAACTTGATTAAACATTATTTTACCTAGGCCCGACACTTTATAATTAATTAGATTTAAACTTGTATATAGACTTGACTTGTAAACTTTTGCTAAGTATAGAGTACTTTCAATTATTTTAATACATATTAAAAATTATAAAGTAATAATAAATAATATTGATATAACTTTAGTAAACGTATAAAGATACATACCTACTATACCTATAGACAACACAATAAATATCAATTGAATAATTATTAAAAAATTAGTAGGTACGTTACAAAAACATAGATCTATGTAGGTATTGTTTAGTTAGGTGCATGCGCATAATTTCAACGCAGAGTAATTAAATACTTACCTATTGCATTATTAAGCAAACGTCATTCGTAAAACAATTACCGACCTACCGTCGATAAGGTTTACGAGAACGCGACATGGTTAGTTTGATCTCATCGCACTTAATAAATTATCATAAACATTCGATAGTTGAAACTCCTGACTTTAATTTTCCGCAAATTTGCTACGTCTCTATAAATATTTTGTGATTTTTCAAACGAGTATGACGTTTGCAGTATAACGTGAGATGTTATGAAACTTTTAATGAGAAAATCACATAATATTGAAAATCAAACTCGACTAGAGATAAAACGAATATATGTTCGCGTTTTACACCGTTATAAATTATTTATTTTAAAGTGCGACAATTGTCTTAATTTTAATTGACTTTTGAATTATTGCAATAATTGTAAATATGAATAAATCTAGTACGCTTTTTTGCTCTTAGATAAATCCTTTTGATTAGAATTAAATAAACAGTTTATTCTCAGTATACACTTAATAAAGTTTTATGAAGTATCATGTTTCAGATAAGACTACTTTAGAGCAGAAACAAGTAATGTGGCAGTTTATCATAGCCCATTAAAGTTTTACATCGTAATATCCCATACGATTGAAGACATGCTCGAGCCGCTATAAACTAAACGGTTTACAATAAGTACTCCGCGTAAATCAGGTACGTATAACTGGATCTTAATATGCATAAATACTAAAAAGTTACAAATAAATACTTCGATAGGATCGTTTAACGAGAGCCTTTTCAGTGCGGCGCGGCGGCGAGCCATTTAGCGAATTTCAATAGTTATCACGGAGAAAAACTCAGCGCGCGAACGGGACGAGGCGCTCGAGCCGTTCGAGTTAGACAGAGACAGCGCTCACAAGAAAGAAATAATAAAAAGCGTGCGTGGTCGAAGTGTGGTGGCGTAGGGCGGCGATGCAGGCCCCTCCTTGCGCCTCGTTGCCGCCTCGCCTCAGTCTGGTCCACAACGCGCGATCTCGCACCGGTCCGCGCCACCGGCGTCCTTTGCGCGCGTAAAAAGTTTTCCCACTATTCCGAAACTTCCGACCGCGGTGACAACACGCCCAGCTCGATTGTTTTTTGTTTTGTTCCAATATCGCAGTCTAGTGTTCGAGTAGTATTCGTTACTCAGTATTCGTATTCGTTCGTTTAGTGTTTCTAATCGTGGTATCGAAGATTATGATATGTAATGGGATGCACGGTCGGTGACGTGTGGGCCCGAAGCCGGTTACCTGAAGCTGTTGGCTTGATGCTGCTGCAAGGCGAGGGCCGGGAGCGGCCAGCTATGGAGGACGACTGCTCTGCTAGGCCGTGTGCCACTGACTTTTCTATCGCTGCTATTATGGCTAGGGACAGGCAGGAGAGGCGAGAGAGAAGAAGGCATAGAGACCCCAGAGAGGATACTTTAACTCCTTTAGGTGAGTCTTATAAGAACTGAAAAGAAGATTCAAATTATTCATATTGTATAGCTGATCTAAGAACCAAGTAATAAAAATTATAGTATAGTTCTAATAGCTAAACTAGGTAGGTATATAGGTTTAATCCTAAGAAGCAAGATAAACTCAATTTAACATTTAAATATAATGAAAGATTTTTTTAAATATTAAAAGTACTTATAAATAAAATGAACACACAAAATACAAGTGTCATAATAATAAAAAATATTAGCTACTTTATATAGAGTTATACTTTTCAAATATGGAAAAACATTTAAAACGTAAAGGTTCTCTTATGTCTATAGTGAAATAGCATTAAGTTTAAATTCAAATAATTTTAACTAATATGTCGCGTTTTAAACCGTTAAAGTGTTTTATTTAAACTTAATTGAAATTGAAAATTTTAATTTTATTTTCTAAGCATAATAGCATAAATGTTTCAAAACTTATTTAAGTTAACTCCTACACTTTCTAGCGGTTAAACAACTAAAAGTTTTTTATCATTAAACGTGTATTCTATAGAAAAGTAAGAAATATTACTTTTGAATCATCATGACTTTTCTAGTAAACAAGTATTTGAAACTTGATTCATCTTACTTTTAGTTTGATTTAAATTATAACCAAAAGTTTTCTTGTGCTGTGCGTGCTGAATTCTTATGAATCAAGTCTTTAATCAGCCTGTGTATCTATCTTTAATAAGGCGTCAAAAGACACCTTATATTGTCGCCATTGAATAGAATATAACACTGAAAATTAAAATAAAACAAATGAAAGCTAACTTTTAACGCACCAGAATTCTTTGCTAGTGGCCTATGTCGTACTCGGTCGTGGATTTCAGTCCAGCCTGGTCACACTTTTTTTCTCACACAAAATCTATTTATTGTATTTAAATGTATTGGCTATTCAGGCTATAAAAGTTAAATGGGGTAATACTAGGAGCAACTGTTTTTCACTTATATTTGTTTGTATTTTGAAGGTAATTTTAATTATTTGCAGAGAAATTCGTTGATGCCACAGCATCTGCTTCTGGGTCTCCATCGCCGCCACTTGCTGATTTTGAACGAGATTCGCCCGTAGACGTCTCGTCAACCTCTGAAGCGGGCTCTATGAGTGGAGCACCGGGCGGCTCCAGGACCTTATCGCCAACACCACGAAACCCTCAGTTGGTTGAGCGGTGGTCTAGTGACGAAATGAAACACATACAGTGTCATCTTGAAACTAAGGAACTGTGGGATAAATTCAACGAACTGGGAACTGAAATGATTATCACCAAGACTGGAAGGTAAGTCGACTTTTGTATTTATAGTTGACTGATTTTTATATCACATAGAAGCAAGTTGCATTATCATACTAATAAAAAATAAAATAAACGGTTTCCATAATTATTAATGAAAACAAATAATAAATTATTTAAATTATAGTTGAAGAGTTTATATCATTACGTGGTGTAAGGATCATATGATAAATATTAATTTATAACGTAATAATTCTAAGTAATATATTTTTTAATACTGTTAACCTTATTTAGTCGATAGGCCATGAAACTAGCGAGTCATTTCAAATAGAAGTAATAGGTACTTATGAATTAAAAATCGATTCTCACATGTCGCTTATGACACGGTAGCTCAATTAGTTAAACCACGGAATGCTATGGATACGCTTCAAATCCTGCCCATGTCGTAAATTTTTTTCAAACTTTACATGCGTGGAAAAATGTAAAATTTTTCAAAAGTGCCTTATAACTTAAATAATTTAAACATTGGTCATGCTCCCTTGAAACCATGACGTATGTATGAGGCTGCTAGAGGCAGAGTGGCCTAATAAGAAAACACGATTTTTAATAAGTAGGAAAATAAAACTGCGCAATTAACTTGGGCGAAAATGGATTTGTACTATTATTTGTGTAAGAATTATGTTAACAATTTTTGGTCACTGCGCTCTTGTAGATTAACATTTTTGATGTATAAAAATATGAGTAAATTCATAAAATTGCAGTTAGGCTACTCTGCCTCTTGCGGCTTCATATGTAAGTGGTGTAACTTCAGAAAGCATTAAAGCTGACGGTAGTAGGTAATCTGAGGCGATTGTTTAACGAGACCAAGGCAACGACGATAGCGGATAAGGTAGGTGGTAGGTTTGCAGCGGCGCGAGGCATGGCCGACTCGCCTCGGGGCAGAACAATGGCCAATTGACCGACACTCTTGCGATTGAACAAACGAAATCGCTGTTAAACCCGATCTAATTAGTGTGGAAGGACTTTATAGTTGACTTTGATTTTTAGTGAAAGTGTGTGGTCTTACTCTATAAAAAATTGAACTAACATTAGTAAAAATGTTGAGACCTCATATGACGGAATGTTTGTCAATGGACTTTAATTGCTGTGGCAAAATGAAATTTCATAACTACAGCACCGGGCGGTCTTATCGCTATAAACGATCTCTTCCAAGCAACCCGATGAAGTTAAAATAATATTAAACAACGCGCTAGAAGTGCAAAACTTAGGTACTAACTACTAAATAAACTATACAAAATAATCTTAAAACTATATTGATTTCATAAACGAAATCCTGTTGAGCCCGATCTAATTAGTTCCGAACACACGCTTGTCTGTCCTCCTTCTATATTAAAAAAAGGACTATATATATAGTCCACTCAGATCTTAAGTGAAATTGTGTGGTCACTATAGTAGTACCAACATTAGTAGAAATGTTTTTAGATGTGGGTTTAGTTACAACAAAAATACATTTAGTAAGGTCTGTGGTCTATGTCACACAGCCTCTGAGGCAGCTTGTCTATTCTCTCTCTTGCACAAAATGGCGGTATTAAGATGTAATACGACTTTGTTATGAATTTTTTCTCTTAACGTTTTAAAACTCGCATTTTGCCTTTAGACGACTTATGACGGAATGTCTCGATAGACTTTAAATAATTTAGTATTTTTTTTGATATAATTGCTCAATATAAAATGTGGAACATTACCAAAAGGGTAGCAAAAATACCTATATAGGTTACTTACTGTGCACATAGAAACGTTTTTGACACTTAGCCTACTAAGATCTCCTAGTCTATTTACTACTATATCATCATAGCTTTGAACAAGTTACTTAATCAACATAATTTTTAATAGTAAAATTGACCTTATTAGGGACATTAATTCAATAAAAAATTTAGATTATATCTGTTTATTTAGATGTGTATAACATAATATGATATATTTTGGCAACATTCCTTTCGTTTATGTATAATGTCGTTTTTGGCAAAGCATTTGATACTTCGGGCCATAGTTAAAGTGAATTAAAAGTTACGTCATATGTTACGCGTTTTGATCAGTTAAAAGAGTTGTATTTAAATGTGTACTACTCACGTAAACTACAGACACGATTTGAAGTTTTCATGTAGGACTATAATGCTGGAAAAATCAAATTTAGAATTTTTTATTCGAATAAGCTGTTGTCTATTACGAAAAAGAGCCGGATCTCAAAGCGTCTATAAAAAACCTGAACAGCTGAACTGTAACGATTCAAACCGTTAGAAAGGAGGAGAAATGGGGGGGCAGTCCGTAATGCACCCGGCGACGTTATCGCAACTGCGTAAATCACCGCGACAGCTCACCGAACGTGACAAATTCGCTAACGTGGCCTTTGATAACACTTGTTACAAATAAGGCTTATCTCATTTTCATATTGTTTAATTTCTCAATCACTAAGGTGCTTATGTTGTAGACCAACTTCCGAATATCCAAAGCCTAAATAGCTTGGCAGGGCTATCTTGTGTAGATGTTATATGGCTGAGGTTACATCTCGTATCAATATTTTGGCTTCGGAAATTCACAAATCGAAACGCGATTAAGCTCCACGGCTTTTTCATCTGTGGACGTTGGTTCGTGACCCGGACGGTATTTAGATATTCAGAAAAATTATAAATCGATTTGAAAATTGTTGGACGAGACGGAGTTCGAACCCACTACGCGTTGATTATCTGAAAAGATGATCGCACTAGCGAAATTCGCGAATGGCGCCGCGGATCCGAGCATGTTCAAAAGCCAATAATTAAAATTGTAAAAAGATAGGCCATAAAAGGAAATCTCCCTCACAATGAGGGATAATTTGCCACACACGGCCCCCCTTCGATTAGCATAAATCTCGCCAACTAACCATCACAAATGAACGATGGACAGGGATCCAATTCTGATATTTATATTACATGTCTATCTGAACCCTACTGAACCTTCGCTCGCATCGAGTAACATTATGATGTTGAGTAAAATTTAATTAGAAAACAATCATTGTAAGTAAATGTAAGTAATTATTATGTTTTATAATGACAAATTAATCGTGTTTTCTTTTAAATAAAACTGTTTAATGGTTTAAAACGCGATATATTTTAGTTAAACAGAATTTTCTTTATTTCCCTCATTCTTTTTAACAGGGCATTGATCTATACTAATATTATAAAGCTGAAGGATTTCCTTGTTCGTTTCCTTGAAAGCGCCAATCTCAGGAACTACTGGTTAATTTTTTTTTTTTTGTGTTGGTGTGACCATTTATCGAGGAAGTTATTTTAAGTTTGCAAAATAAATACTATCATGCCTACATATCTTTTTCACGCGGAAGAACAGCACAGCTAGTTTTATTTTAAAGAACACTTATCGATATATTATATAGAATATATATTCTATCGATAGCCTGTCAATCACTAGCACATATTAGCAGAATTGGGCCCCAGGACGCGGCGATTTCGCACGACATTCGCGTCGTGTCGTAACGGTGACGATGCGCGACGAATCGCGGCCGTCGTTCGCTCATATAAATCAGCATTATCTCGCAAGATAGCCAGGGCCCACCCCGCCATATCGCGCCGGGCTCGTGTCGTTCGAAAAAATTAATGACTCGGAAAAACGATTCGCTTATGAGGGATCTTTCAATGTAATTGAATTGCCCCACTGAGGACTGCTGGAATCGTCGCGCGATGAAGCGCTGAATCAGGTGCGGAATTCTACGTAATCGCGAAATATTTTGCGTTGGTATTATTCTGGTCTAATATATGCTTAGAAGTATAAAATACCTAAATTGAATAAGACTGGAAAAAGAACCTTTCCCGTCGGTAATCTAGTTTAGAATTTTTTGTTCCGGTTTTAAACATTACAGTAGTATACGTCAGTTTTCGGTGAAATTGACTTAAATAAAGCCGATAATTACATGGAATACTGAAATTATAATAATAATAAAATTATAAAAGGCCAAACATACAAATACATTACCAATTTAATATGTATAGTTTAAAAATGACTAGACAATCTTTCTAACATAACAGAGCTTTAAAAATATTACGTTTATTTATTAATTTGACACCTAGATACACAAAACGTACAGACAAAAAATGTTAAAAATCTTACTAAATAGGTACTTGATAACATTTTTAGATAGAAAATTAAAAATGTATTTATAAGTTGGTAGCATTGTTTATTACGTAAAACTTTTTTAGTTTAACATGAATAAATTGTAAATAAGTTTACTAAAACATTTCGCGTTGTAAACCGTTAAAAAGTGTTCTATTTAATCGTGTGCTAATTGTTCAAACATTGGTTTCTTGTAGCCGTCACATAATCTAGTAGAGATTGTAATTAACATGTGTATCAAAACAAAAGGCAAATATGCACGGTTTATAGTATTTGCATTGTTTATTATTATCATAACAGGATTAATAGAATTATGTAAATACGTCCGTCGGTTAGTGTATGGCGAAGCTAATGCGGTAAGCTGCGTTTTTAAACCTGTCTCATTGTAAGGCGTGCTTAATGTGGACCCATTTTTCATCCGCTCTGCAAATATTTTGATTTGATATTGTGTAACCCTTACTCTCGTAGCTACCGAAATCTAGTTGAAACATTTGTTTTACATTACGTGTTTGTAAAGCATTGAGTTCCATTCAACTTTTAGTATAAAACGGGTTTAAACTAATACATTTCGCGTTTAATTTTTAATATAGATATTTCCAAAATCTAAAAACGCTTAAGTTATTTATTATGTAATTGATTACTACACATATAAGAATTATTGTTGCAAGAAAAAGTGTTTTTATTTGACCGTTATTTAGGCAGAGTTTAAAACAAACTGGGCATCCTGCTCTTGTTCTTGCAAATTAAAAAGAATAAAAAAACCTTCCCGTGACCACGGCCGCTGCAGAGCATCCGAAACGACCGGCCATAGTTAAAATAATTTTCAAATAAGCTTAACCACTATATATCACGCTTAAAACCGTTAAAGTGTTTTATTTTAAGGAAAAT